AGTCTTGGATAGCATTTGAGGTTTTGGGGCCTCTTGCCTTGCAGAAGTCTTGCAAGTCCTTGAGCACAAAACCATTGTTGTGATGTTGACATACTGCTTCTTTTCATGCACCAAAAAACCCGCAGTAGGATCCTATAGTTTTAGGGTTTGGGGGGTCGATCTTTTGTTGTTGTTAGTGATGGCTGTTTGTATGTGCTTGTTATTGTTGCTAGTGCTGGTGCTGCTGGCGGTGGCGGCGGTGTGGTTGGTCGCGGTGGCGTCTGTGGCTGTGGTCCTTGTTGGTGATGGTTGTTGTTGTTGTTGTTGTTGCTGTTGTTGTTGGTGGTGGTGGTGGTGGTGCTGCTTCTAACTCCATCAGGACCAACCCCTAAAATCCTAAAGTACCCGGACATCATTCAATACCCTCATCTTTAGAGCATCGATTTGAGTATGCTGTTCTGTACGAAGGATTCAGTTGCTTCCCGAGGAATGTGGGTGTGAGCACAGGCAGTAGGACTGAGAGGTCAGGGATTTGTTCGGGTTCGGGCTTGTCTAGTGGCTAGTGCTGAAGCAAAGAACTAATCAGCCTCGAGGAGGGCCAGCTCGGTCTCCATCTCCGCAAGGGCGGCACGTTCCAGGTTCAGGGTCATCTCTCAGCTAAGAAGCTGTACTCCTAGACCCCCAGAACACACTCTTGGACCAGGCACCGGCGCTGACACAGGCACCAGAGTACTGAACATTCAGCATGAAGCCCAAAACGTCCAAACGTGAGCCACAATGAAGCAACAAGCTCAGTTCAGCCCTATCCCGATTGGGCTGATTTTGCCGGACGCTTAGTTCCGGCCACTTCCCGGGTAGTTCCGGCCACTTCCCGGGCAGAAATTTTTCCCTCGAATTGCAGATATTTGCTGCTAGGCCAATTCAGCCCAGATCCCGAAAGACTCCAGTATTCAAGCTCAAGCGAACTCGGAAAGCTAGCCACCAGTTTCAGCAAGTGTTTCGAAAGAGGAACGAGGAGGTGTTGTCCGCCACGAACAGGAGCTAGTAGTTCCTTGGGTGTGCAAACAGTGCAAACGACAACTTGCAAGGAACGGCTTGGCTTCGACAGCTGATTGGGCGGAGGCTCCGAAACTTGTCTGGCATTGACGGGAGCTGGCTGTTCCTTAGATAGATTGTACATTATGCAAAAGTGGCCGCAAAGCACTCGAGTTTCAAGGCACCCATCTGCAGCCAACGATTTCGCAACCTATTTTTGGATCAGAGGCACAGTAACTTCAACAATCTGCGATCTCGCACCCGGCCATCCTGGAACCGGCTGTTCCTCGGTGACACGTTTTTGTTGTGTGCATTTAGAATCCATTTGGGGTCCTAATAAGCAACACCAATATATTTCTCAAGGAGTTTAAGCTCTAGGGAGTTATAGGAGTTTTATGAATGAAGCTGAAGCAGTACTAGTCTATAAGGCAGACACAAGCAGCGACTACTCGCTACGACTATTCATGATACCGAGTGATAATCTCCATAAATTACATCTTCAGCACCAACATGGAAAACCAAAACCGAAAGGTATGGGGTGTCTGAGCCGACCTAAGAGGCCCACGATCCTGACATCGAAATAACCCATCCTCAAATTCTAAAAAAATCCTTTTGGGATTGAGGCACTGGATGTTCCCCACGGTCAACTGGATGAGATTGTTCCTGAGATTTCACAACACGAAGGGGCCCCGGATCCTAAAACCGAAAACCCCATGCCAGATTCGCGAGCTGCTTTTGGATGAAGGCACTGGAAGTTCTCCGGGGCCAACACTAGGATCCGGTAGTCCCTCAGATTCAGATTGTTCCTGAGATTTCACAAGACGAAGGAGCCCCGGATCCTAAAACCGAAAACCCCATGCCAGATTCGCGAGCTGCTTTTGGATGAAGGCACTGGAAGTTCTCCGGGGCCAACAATAGGATCCGGTAGTCCCTCAGATTAACTAGAAGTTCTCGCAGGTCAATAGCATCCAGGGTTTCCTTAGATTTGGCAGGAACACCAGAGTTACCATAGTTACCAGTAGTCACAGCAACCGTAATATCAGCATCGAACAGCCAGCTTTGCAAGCTACTTTTTGGGATGGAGGCACAGAAACTTGTCGCCGACCAACAGCATCCGGTTGTTCCTCAGATTTGCCAAAGGAAGACCCGTAGTGACTAGTAGTAGTGCTAGTGGTTGTAGTAGTCGTAGTAGTCGTAATAGCACTAGTAGTAAGTAGTAGTAGTAGTAGTAGTAGTAGTAGTAGTAGTAGTAGTAGTAGTAGTAGTAGTAGTAGTAGTAGTAGTAGTAGTAGTAGTAGTAGTAGTAGTAGTAGTAGTAGTAGTAGTAGTAGTAGTAGTATACATGCAACGGGTACATGTAATTGCATCTAATTTTCGCGCACGTAATTAGTCTAATTACGTGCACGAAAATTAGATGCAGTTACATGACTACTACTACGAGGACTACTACTAGCAGTCGAGTACGGGTGCATGTAATTGCATCTAATTTTCGTGCACGTAATTAGTCTAATTACGTGCACGAAATTACATGCAATTACATGACTACTACTACTACTACTACTACTACTACTACTACTACTACTACTACTACTACTACTACTACTACTACTACTACTACTACTACTACTACGAGGACTACTACTAGCAGTCGAGTACGGGTGCATGTAATTGCATCTAATTTTCGTGCACGTAATTAGACTAATTACGTGCACGAAAATTAGATGCAATTACATGTACCCGTTGCATGTATTTGTGTTTGTGTGCTGCTGCTGCTACTACTACTACTACTACTACTACTACTACTACTACTAGTACTACTACTACGAGGACTACTACTAGCAGTCGAGTACTCTGCCAATCACAATGTCAAGAACCACATCTTAAAACTCGGAAGCCCCGAATCCTAGTCAATCCCCTGGTGTCCCAAACACACCCTCACTCCAAACAAGGGAACATTTGGTTGCCATGACTAAAAGGGCCTCGGCGGAAACGGTGGGTCCGGGGTTTATGAAGTAATGGGTTTATGTGGGTTGCCACACTTTTGCTTACTGCAGCTAAGGTTGTGGATAGCTCCGGTCAAGAGGGTGTTAGATTGACGGGGGTTGCTGAAGGTTGTAACTGTCTGGATGCAAAGCATGCCTTCAAGGTCTGGGCTTTCCGGGGTTTAAGGATTCGGTCGGCAGTTTTGGGCGTGGTGCAGCAGGGATTTTTTGTAGGCCTGGACAAGGTTTAAGGATTGGGTTGGCAATTACAAGCGTGAGGCTGAGTACTTAGGGCTTAGGGCTCCGAAGGGGCTTAGGGATTCAGTTGCCAAGGTAAGGCATCAGGTGCACACCCAGACCCGAAACCCCAAGCCGTGAACCCTATACCAGGCTCCGGGACAAGGGCAGCTGAGTGTTCGGTAGAATAAAACCCAAAGCCCAAAGCTATTGTCAGGAATGCAGCCACGAAACAGTTGTGGAAGACTTCGGCAGTCGCAACCAGCTTGTCATCCAGATGGCGCAAAATAGACCTCATGTTTTGGGAAGTGCTGTATACGATGTTTCTAGCTTTGTAGAAAGCTCGATACATAAACACCCCCCATTCAGCAGAAGTGCTGTTTGTAATCCCATGGCAATCATCCGAGGATCGGCTCTACATCATACGGTGGCAGAGGTGCTGATGGTCGACAAGGCTAACGAAAGCTACTGAAGCAACACCCCGATGTCCGGTTCGTCTAGAGTCTAGAGGTTCTTGCAACGACATGTGGCTTGGCCTTGAACAACGAAACTGCACTGGCGAAAAGCAACCCAGAAAAGCTTGAGCTCTTGATCTACGGATTCGCATTGACTGGCAACGATAGATGGTCTTGCATGAGAGCACAGTCCCTCAACACCTGGCGGGTTCACGAATGTCAACACCACTTTCCGGGGGCGGAATCGCTCCAGCTTTGGCGAAAGCCCCCAAGCCTCTTCGAAAGCTCATGGCTGCCAGCAGAAGTACCTGGCAACGTCGCAGCAAGGAAGGGCTCGTTTGTCTAGCATATTGTACGGAATTGCAGCAAGGTTCTTTTTCGTGGCCCCATGCGGAACTGACGATGAGTGCACAGCGTGCGTGTGCACACCGAACCCCGCCCGGCCCGTCTAAGCGAGAGGAAGCAACCGCTGACTACATTCTCATATCACATACTATATAGTGCACTCCACATGCTACATGCTCGTCTCTCGCAGGAGCCAGGATCCCAGTAATCACAAGGTAGTGATGGTGACTAGTGTACTAAAGACACTCCAGCACTTGGCATAGTTGCCCCTGCGATTGGGGACACAATAACTTCCAGGCAGGTCCAGGTATAGAGTTCAAGGATTATAGGTTTGGACTTAGAGTGTAGGATTCAAGGCGGCGTAGTTGGGTTGAGGGCTCAAGGTTCAGCATGTGAGTTTTAAGGTTGAAGCTTGTTATAGTCCGAGGTTTGGGTTAAGGAAATTTGACTAAGTTGAAACTTAAGGCTCAGGGTTTAAGGGCTGTTCTTGTGTTTGATCACAGGTAGTGGCAGCTACAGCTTGCTGGCACGTCGGGAAGAAGCGGACTTTCGCTTCCAAAAGCAGGCAAGAGGCTTGGTACTGCAAGATACGGAGTGGGTGCTATAATCATCCAGGATACCTCGCGATACTTTAGCATTCTATCGGAATAGGCAGAGCCTCTCGGCACAAGTTCAAAATCGCACAGGCTCTAGCAGGCTGCATTCGAAACCTGGGGCCTGGCTGCACACAATATCTCCGGCATGACTGCATCACTCAATCGCCCCAGGCTTTGTATCTGTTGCTCGGGTCTCCAGAAACTTATGTACAAGTTCAAGAGCTCTCACCTTAATAGTGGCTGCCGATGCGGCTGTCAATGTATCGTCGCCCCAGGTCCACACCGTGAAGAACTTCCAGAACTCGTCCTGCAAGAACACATACTAGGAAGTATTGGGAACACTGAACCTCACCCCTGCATTCCCGAAGACCTCAAGCCTCAAACCCCAAATTCGAGTAGCAGTCCTCGTACTTGGTAGGGAAGCGAAACTTGGGAGCCAACTGGCTCTCAAAGACCTCCTTGAGGGCAACCCATTTCTCAAGGCCCGGCCCCGGCTTCGGGGGGCAGGATCGCTTTGCAAATGTCTTCGTGCCGGGAGCATCATTCTCTGCCGCTGATCCTCGCGAACCTCGCGATTTCTTCTTGGGAGGCTCCTTGCTTGCACTGGCAATTGGGGCTTCGGAGGGTGGCTTCGGCTTCGTGCGATCACCTTCAGCACCGGTGTCTGCATCAGCATCTAGGGCCTTGGGTTTTCGCTTCGGCTTCGGCTTGCATGGAGCACTTTCGGTATCCGGAGGACAACTTTCACCAGGCGGACTGCTCTTCTTAGCAGCAGCTGGCCGCTTCATGGGGCCTCGGGCACCACGGCCTCTGCCACCACGGCCTCTACCCCGGCCCCTGCCAGCACGACCCCGACCTCCTCGGGGCTCATCCTGCTCTTCAGGCTCCTCTGGCTCCTCAAAGTCACGTTGATCCCGTCGCCTCAAGATCTCCTGCGTACAAGGAGAGTGTTCCATTCGGCTTGATGTAAATGGAAACAAAATCCCAATCCTGTAGGATAGCATAATAGATTAGTTGGAATGATCAGCGAAAGAAATGTAGAGTAAGAGTAAGAATAAATTCAATGCAAATAAAACAAACCGAGAGATGCATCCAACTGTTTATTGATAAAGCATGCAAGGATGCTGACGAAGGAGGATCTCAGAGAGCCGAGACCCAGAGAGTTTAGTAGGTTCAGGATTTCATGAGTTTTATGGCTTTGGAAATGCTTATTGTTTGTCGGTCTAGGGGCTAGGATTTATAGGGTTTGGGGTTGGGGAGTTCAGGACTTTAGCTTCGCTTGAAGAGGCTTGATGCTGACTTGGGCCCAAACGTTTGGGGGTTAAAACTTTCTTAGCCCGACTAATTAGAGAGTGAATCACAACCCCCAACTTCCCAACTATCCCGAACCTGAATACTCAACTCTGCCCAACAGGCCTTGGCATCGAAGAGGTTCAAGGATCTGCTTGACTCGGAGCCATCATCGTGGCCGTGCGTGTGCTCAGGCTGCCCATCGAGGGGTAAAGAAGCACCAGGTTGCGAGGTCTCGGTCGTCTGGGTCTTCGGTTTCTCGGGGAGGGCTTCAGCAGGTTGCAAGGCTTTCGTTGTTTGTGTCTTCGGCTCCTCGGGGACTGCTTTGGACTGTTCGGCTGGAGCAGCAGGTTGCAAAGCTTGGGTTGTCTGGGTCTTCGGCTCCTCAAAGAGTGCTTTGGACTGTTCGGCTGAAGCAGGTTGCAAAGCTTGGGTTGTCTGGGTCTTCGGCTCCTCAAAGAGTGCTTTGGACTGTTCGGCTGGAGCAGCAGGTTGCAAGGCTTCGGTCGTCTGGGTCTTCGGTTGCCCGGGCGGTGCTTTGGACTGTTCGGCTGCAGCAGGTTGAAAAGCTTGGGTTGTCTGGGTCTTCGGCTCCTCAAAGAGTGCTTTGGCAGGTTGCAAGGCTTTCGTCTCAGCAGCACGTGTTCCGAGCCCTTTGCCCCGAATACTGCTGCTTGCCGGAGGATCCACTGCAACCTGGGTGTCCGTCTCTGCCGGGTCGATGGATCCCGCAACAATAAGCTGCAAACAGTTTTCGAAGGTGAAGGATTTACAGTCTTCAAGGTTATGGGGATCGAACCTTCGGCATAGAACTTCGGGCTTGAGTCTGGGGTTACATCTTGTCAGAGTTTTGTGGTTTGGGTGTACTCGGCACGCCGATGGTTGGCTACGCCCTCCTCGTGGGCGGCGTGCGGGCAACTACTGGGCTGCATTAGTTTTGTGCGTTTGTTGTCTACTGTTTCCTGCCCCTCACTTCGAGGCCAACGTGGCACACCCTGTCTACGGCAACACTTCGCGTTAATTATGTTTATCTCCGTGTCAACTGCACCCAGCAGGCTAATCCACTCCCGGCTACGGCCGGAGCCCTCCGTACCTGGAGTCCGTATTTCGAAGGCGACTAGTACACTTGTCCTCAAAACCGGAGGCGGAATTGCCAACCACACCTCGGCCACTTCGGCTCGAATCGGAAAGGGGCCGTTGGGGTCGGCTTCCAATGGCGGCTGTGCCCCTCCCCTTGTGTTCTTGTTCCTGTAACCTGTGCCGGGTGCGCCACAGAGGTCTTCGGTCAACCGTGTGGTCGGCGGTTGGTCGCAAGTGTCGTGTGGCGTTTTGGCTTTTGTAAGGTGTTTGACCCTAAGTTGCCATCGAGCAGGCGACTGGTCTCCTCAGGGGGCCGGTATGAGGAACACGACACAGACTGGGAGAGGGGGCGCAACGGGGACGGACACTCACATACACTCACAACCAGTCAGACACACTCGATACAGGCGGAAATACCGCCGGGTACAACAGGCCATGGGGGGCAATCTGGCCTCGAGCCATCGCAAACAATCGCGGTTTCTCACACGCAAGCTGGCCAAACTACGCAAACAACACAGGGCACGAAAGCAGGCACACACACTAGGCTTCATGCGACGTCTCAAAGCAAAACATGCACGCATGAAACGCTGCAACACCACCATGCGTATGGCTTCATGGGGTACCAGAGGCTTGGGAGCTATAGACAGCAAACATGACCGCTGGTGTGCACAGCCTTTCATGCTCGGATGGACGCACAACAGTGGGATGTCATCTGTCTCACTGACCTTAAATACCCTGACGATGGCACACGAGAGTACCGATACAACGGGCGGGATTGGTACATGGTTGTCCTCGGGCGGGTGGGCTTTCTCCTCTCGGATGTATGGTACACTTGGTGGGAACAGGGCGGGGCCATAACATACCAGCGAAACCTACGAGCGGCGGCTATCGGCATACCCAGACGGGGCTGGAGGAGAGGAGTCTGGCTTTGCGCAGCGTACGCGCCTACAAGCGCGGCAGGACGGCGGGTACGCGCGGCACTGCGACAGGATGTAACCTATCTAGTCGAGGCGGCCCCTCCCTCTAATATGATCGTAGTCGCAGGGGACCTCAACGCGGAACTGTGGAACAATCAGGACGCAGGGCAGGTGGGGAATGCAGTGGTGGGTTCTTTTTCACATGCACGTCTGACCACGGCAGGGGAGGAATGGCGGGACTGGTGCGTCAGATATGACTTTCGGGATGCGGGCAGCCGATACCAGCAGAGACGTAGATGTACATGGTCACATCCTCGTTTCCGCACAGATCACGAGCTAGATCACTTCCTTATTCGTCACCGCGATATTTGGCACCTACAGTCTTGTCGCATCCTTTATGATGGACCCAATGTCGATGTACCGTGGACCCCGTACACGGACCATAACCCGGTAGAATGCATACTCAGGGTAGGAAAGTGGTGGGCCCCCAAAACCGCTCGGAACAGCTCAGCGCAGCGCCCGGATCTCGATGCTCTTCGCGGTTCAGGGCCTACGGCGGTAGAGCTGCGGGAAAAATGGCAGGCTCTTGTAGAGCGCCGTCTCAGGGACCTTCGTTTGGAACTAGAGCAGGAGCCCAATGCTACGCAGAAGTGGAAAACCGTCTGCCGCATATGCCGCAGCGCGGCTCTGGAGGTTTGTGGAATCTTAGTAGAGTTTAAAGGAGCACCATGGCTGCAACAACACGCGAGGGAGGCTTTAGAGTTGGACGCCGCCATTCGGGAAGCTAAGCTTCGAGATGAGGCGGCAAGAGCACAGGAAGACCCACAGGTAGCGGCCGACTTCCGGCGCAGACTTCAGGCGACCAGGCGGGAAAAGACACTCACAGTACGCAGATGGAAGGAGGCCTGGTTGCGGGATAGGGCTCATGCTGCGGATGCCTTGATCGGCACGCCGGATGCATTCGGGGTTTTCAAGATAGTCAAGCAAATCCTAGGAGCTGTGAAGCCAGGCAAAAAGGATGGAGGTCGGAAACGGGCGAGCACAAATGCTGAAGTTGATGCATGGAAGGAACACTTCGCACGGATTCAGGCGGGTAAGGGGGAGGTCCCGGAGAGGGTCTGGGAAGATGTTGCGGGGCTAGAGGAGTGGACGGAACTGAATGATGAACCTACGTGGGAGGAGATGCAAAGGGCCATCAGGGAAATGAAAACAGGCAAAGCCGGAGGCGATGATAGGATGTTGGCGGAATTTCTTAAATGGTCGGGACTTGAACTTCAACGCCAAATGTTTCGGTTTATTACGGATGCTTGGCAGTACGCCAGCACGGCGGAGGATGGGCGTGAATCTGAACATTGGCCGAAAGCATGGAAGGAAGGCACCGTGGTACCATTTTGGAAGCGCAAAGGAAACTGGAAAGATAAAAACACCTGGCGAGGGATCACCCTTCTTTCGGTAGGCTCCAAGCTTCTGGCACGGATATGCGCACAAAGACTGTCACGTTGGTCACAAAACTGGATGAACCCGCTGCAGTTTGGTTTTCGACCCGGGTCAGGGGTGGACGACGCCCAGCAGATAACCAGAAGCATCCTGGAAGAAACAGCACAGTCGGCGCACAGTAAGGTTTATGTACTCCGTTTCTTCGATCTGGAGAAGGCGTATCCAAAAGTATCGCGGCCGTCACTGTGGACAGCCTTGCAGAGGAAAGGTTGCCCACGAGGCTTCCTCAAAGTACTCAAAGGCATCCATGAAGACCCATCGTGCAAAGTTCGTTTTCAGGGAAAGGTATCGGGGCACTTTATCCCGGAACGGGGCTTACGCGAAGGTTGTCCCTCGTCACCGATACTCTTCAATGTATTTCATCATTGTGTTATGGAAGTGTTCCGAGCGAGACGGGGCAGAAAGGCTCTGTCCAATCAGCATCAACCCGGTTTGGATTGGGTATTTAAGGTCGATGGTAAAGTCGCCAAGCGTAAAACGGATCGGGAGGAGGAAGGACGCAACATCAAGCGAGTTTGCATTGGGGACTTTGCCTATGCAGATGATACCGGCATCGTAGGCGAAGCGGAGGAGGCTCGAGCGGCGGAGACCATTTTTACGCAAACTGTGGAGGATTTCGCGGGCAAAGTTAACACAGATAAAACGGAAGGTCTTCGAGTAGCGTCAACAGTTCGAGCACCCACGGATGTGCCGTGGTTAGGGGAGGGCCCCACTGTGAAACATCTAGGAACACTACTGGCAGAGCGAGCGGGCCACGCAGCAGAAACACACAGATGTGCACAAAAAGCGGCCAGCCGGGTGGTGGAGATCTCAGGCGCTTGGCTCCGGGGACGTACCAAACAGTATAAGCGAAAGGATTTAAGCACCTCCACGCGGATCAGGGTCCTTAAGTCAGTGGTCAAAGGCACACTCATGAGCTTTTCGCGCACCCGCTCCTGGCAGACCAACCAAATCAGTCGCATGCAGGACATGGCCATACGGCGCAGCTTGGGCTATCGCCTGAAAGAACTTCGCCAAGCAGGGATCACAAACGAGGTTATGCGAAACCTGGTGCAGTGGGAAAAGTTCGACTCAGCCGTCCGAAGGGCTAGCCTTTTGTGGTTAGGACACGTAGCAAGAATGCCGGCGGAATCCCCGCAGAAGCAGATCATGTTTGGATGGGTAGAAGGTCATAAGGCTAAAATGCGATGCCCTTTCAAACAGGCGCAGTGGCTCAATTCATGTCTACGGCAAGCGTGCATCCCAGAAA